TCGATTAGCACAAATTGTAGCTTGACAGGCATCACATATTGCGAGGATAATCAACATGTTGTGCGCGGAAGCCAACGCAGGAGCCAAAACCGATGTGTTTCGAGGAACCAAACCAAACGCCGACTGAGAAGGCTAAACAATGCAAAATAACGACAAAAACATAAACAACCAATTTTATGTGGTTCGGCAAGTTGCTTACGTTCACGGGGCAAGAAGGGAATGAGATTTTCACTAATAAAAAAGAAGAGTACAAATTGAGATTACAAATCACTCAAATTCACAAATTAATCTCACCAACAAAGCTCTAGTTCTCTCCAACAAAACTCTAATCAATAGATCAGAAAATATATCTTTTCTGTGCTCCAAATATCCCCAATTCTATCACCAATCAAAGCCAAAGAAACCCTAAAACGTGTGTTTGTGTTTATAGCAAACACCAATTCAAATCAGAACAGGAAACTCACATATGGGCCTGACCCGACCGACGGTCGACCGCCCCAAGACTCGCGGTCGACCGCGATCAAACGATAGAACCCAAAAATCATTATAGGGTCTGGCGGTCAACTGCGCCAAGTCTAGACTTATACCCGGAGTCTGTGCACGTATTCGGTCGACCGGCCTTGCACCGCGGTCGACCAACAAACTCTGAACCCTGAGCTCCAAAACCTGTTCATCTTCGAACCCTTCGCCAAATCTACACAACATGCGGACTTCTAGACTAACATAGGATTGGGGGGAAGATTGACTTTATGCGGGGGTTCTTGAATTTTTGCTAATGGGTCATTTTCTGACACTTTCTATGTATTTTTTTTTTACCAAACAAACACGCTCTAAATAGAAAAGTTGCATCATCAACTAGTAACCTAAAAAATAAAAGCGAGATAGGGACATTTGCATAGTTCCCAATGTGGTCCTCTTTCAATCGTACACTGTGACTATGCGTACACGTGAATGTTGAGATATAATCATCTTTAAAATAGAAAACGACTTAGCAATAATAATCCTCTCTTTAAAACCAATTATTGATAACCCACGCGAGCGACGCAGAAGGTTAAGAAGTTGCAATAACTTACTTAATCCGGCTCAAGTATGTAGGGAACCAACTTGATCATCTCTAATCCGGAGCTAGCCATGGTTTACAAGCTTGAAAAATAAGATTTGGTAATTGTTTTCAACTCGACCCCTCCATTTTTAATATATATTATTTTCTGGACATCTTGCCCTCGAACCCGAACCCGAACCCAGCATGTCTCCTCAAATGTATAGTGGACAAAAAATTTTGCCACTTCCGAGGAAAATGTGAGGTGTACACAACACGGATCTGATTATGACGTAGAGCTCATCCCCTTTTTTTCAGTTGGATAAAAGACACGCAAGCATTGGGAGCACGATTTGGATTATGCGCGAAAATCTTATAATGTTAGTACCCAAAACCGAGTCATTTTCTGTTGACGAAGCAATGTGTCACACAAAATGCCGAAACCTTTGGATAGAAGAAAGATTCAAGCGTAATTAATTTGATTGATCAAGTAGGACGCTAGGGCCCTGCGATGCTCTGTAAAGTACTAGCAAAAAATTTTAATGGATAAGAGCGGTGACTCATTTTCTTCTGTTTTCTTGCTCGCACGTTGTTCTCCAATTGCATGATGCCTAAATTCTAGTGTATTTGCAGGTTTAGCTTTAATGCATGTATTAAATACTGGGGGTTTATATATATATATATATATATATTAGTTCCTTAAATCTTTTAACATTATATATGAAGTTAGTCTTGAAATTGCTGTGACGTCCTCCGTTGTCATATCTTGTTGTTGCTGCTCCTCTTGATTGGAGGGGTTAAATTAAAACAACATTTGAGAACTGGAGGATCTAATAGTGATTTTAGTGATTTGGTGGACTAATTCTGAGATAACTTACAATAGTCGGGGGATCTGAAAGCAACTGTAAATGATTTTCATGGACTAAGCTCAAAGTATTTAAATTTAAGGGACCGATATCGAGAAAACCCTTAATATTATATGTCCAAATCTATTTAGGATTACGTGGGCTTAGTCATCATTCAACCTATTAAGTAATATACTAATGAAGACTTATTTGCGCATGCGTACTTCTCAAACAAATGAGACATGCTGTAGTATTAAATTATGGTGAACCTTGTACAAATAAATTATAACATAGCTTGGACAATAACTTTGCAAAGGTATTCATATATTAGGAATATAAGAGGTAATTATCATTGACTAGGAAAAGGAAGTTGCTCATAATGCTCCACCTCATTTTCTTTTCACTAATGTAATGCTACCAGGTTCCGGTAATTAATTGCTAGTGATAGGCGTAGGCGTCAAAAATTGCTTATAGGGTATCACACATAGCTCAAGTTGAAAGAAAGGCGATAAACATCATCATCTGAGTTATAGAGAAGCATATTGAGGCCAAAGATCAACTAAAGAGCCAAATCAACAATGGGAATCACAATCCGACGGCCCCTACAAATGGAGTAAAAGCCGACGTCTCAATCAACCAGACGAGATGATACCTCCCGTGTCGACTCGAAAGGTAGCCGACATCTTAACCAGACGAGGCGACACCTCCTGTGTCGACTCGAAAGGTAGCTGATGTCTTGATCAGACGAGACGACACCTCATGTGTCGACTCGAGATCAGACAAGACGACACCTCCATGTTAATTCGAGAGGCGTTGGTAGTCGACTCGAGTCCGAGCCGAGACCTGAGACGAGATAGAATTCGTGCCGAGACCCGAGAAGAGATTTCCTTCGTGTCGACTCGAAAGGCGGTGATAATCGACTCGAAGTCTAAGACGAGACCCCTTAGTGTCGACTCAATGTTGTGCGCAGCGAAAATTTCGGCAGAGTTTCTGGTGCACAATAAAAGAGAACGATCGATAAGAATTCTTGTTTCTCAAAGGGAACAAGAATCTGAAGCCTAATATCCCATCAATGTGGGATATTAGCTCTTCCTCTCGTCAGCTCTAGGACTACGCGTCGAGGGATCCTGAAAACTATTACAATGGCCACAAACTCAAACAAACCAATTTTACGTGGTTCGGCAAACTGCCTACGTCCACGGGGCAAGGAGGGAGATCTACTAATAGAGGGAGAGAATACAAATAGGGTTTACAATCACACAAGATCTTTCAAATAAAACCCTCAAACTATCTCTCAATTCCTCTCTCAAAAGATGCACAAATTCAGCCGCAAAACTATTCCTCTGCACAAAACCCAATGCTCACAGCCGAAATTCAAGCTCCTGCACCTTTACCGCAGCCTCACAATTGCACCAAACCCTAGGTTAGAACTGTACCAGGTATTTATAAAGCTCAACCAAGTCTTCGGGTGGGCCAGAAAGCCTCCCACGCGGTTTCCTGAATTAAGCCTCCCACTCGATTTTGATCTTTTCATGCGGAAACGAAAAACCCAGTCACAAATGCTCGTGGCCCCCACAAACCTATGAAACCGAGTTACTTTGATCTTTTAACGCTCTTTTCTTCACGTGGGTTGGCCCCACCATGTCCGTATGTCTGCGTTCAACACTCAAGAAGCGTTGGTAGTCGACTCGAAGTCCGAGCCGAGACCCAAGACAAGATCTCCTTAGTGTTAACTCGAGAGACAGTCCGAGACTAGACGGTCTGAGACTAGACCGAGACGAGACGAAAGTTTGAAGTTGAGACAAGATCAATGTCGACACGAGATGTGGTACGAGACATAACCGAGACAAGACGACAGTTCAAAGTCGAGACGAGATCAATGTCGACCAGATGAGACGATAATTCCTATGTCGACTCAAATGGCGAACTGAGACGACACCTCATGTGTCGACTCGAGAGCCGATAGAAGTCAACATCTCGAGACAATACCTGAGACGAGACCCCCTTTGTGTCGACTCAAAAGGCGTTGGTAGTCGTCTCGAAGTCCGAGCCGAGACCCGAGACAAAATCTCCTTCGTGTCAACTCGAAAGGTGTTGGTAATCGACTTGAAGTCCTAGACGATATCCCTTCGTGTTGACTCGAGAGACGGTTCGAGACGAGACCGAGACGAGACGACCGTTCGAAGTCGAGACGAGATAAATGTCGACCATATGAGACGACAATTCCTATGTCGACTCGAATGGCGAACTGAGATGGCACCTCATGTGTTGACTCGAAGTCCGATAGAAGTCAACATCTCGAGACGATACCTGAGACGAGACCCCCTCCATGCCGACTCGAAAGATGGCGATAGTTGACTCAAATTCTGAGACACTTGCCACTGTCTCGGAATATGCGACTTTGTCCGAGACACTAGCAAGTTTCTCGACTAAACACCAACCTCCGAAGCCAAGTCCCTTCGTGCTGACTCGAAAGGCGGTGTCAGTCGACGCGCCTTGAGTCGACTCGAAAGTTTCCTCTCTCGTCAGACGACTCCCAATATTGCAAGAAACTAAAGGGAAGATTCAACGATCTTTGCGACGCTTTGACAAAAGTCAATGAATCTCTTCAACTCAAAGGTCAACTAAGGAATGCCCGAGAAGCGCATCACACAAGTTTTGATGCACAAAAACGTGTCTCGGAAGCCATGAGACAATTCATAGTTTCCGAGACAGTGGTGACTGTCTCGGAAGCTATGAGACAACTTATAGTTTCCGAGACAGTGGTGACTATCTCGGAAACTAGAGTGGGCTTAGCGACGGTTTTCTCGAGTTTTGTGCAATCCACGTGGTTTAACAACTACCGGGAATCATCCAAAAACGTGGAGGAGCCATTACAAGAAAAAATCACGCTCATAACCGTAGGAATAATGACAATTAAACGAGGTGTGAGCGGTTATGAAACTGCCAGAAGCAAGCCATGCTTTCGAGACAGTTGCAACTATCTCGGAAATAGTAGTCCACCGACACGATTCCTTTTCGACTTCAACCTTTAGTTACAGTCTCTAGGGATTATAAATAACCCCCTACCACCTATATGCACGAGGAACCGAAACTTCAGAAGGGGAAGACGAGAATGAATCAAGTTCTGAGGAAGTATCTGGCCTTCCCGATTCATTCTTTGATAGAGGACTTGTAAGGCCTTCTGTCGCTCCGACCCAACCACAAGCTGCTCCAAAGAAACGTAAGGAAAGAGTCGTCATGGAACATCCTAACCGGATGACGGTAGAAGTTCTTAGTTGCGACGAAGAGGATGAAGAGGATATGGTGCCTCTCATTCGTCGGCAAATATCTCGAACTTCTACTCAAGCTCAAACTCAAGTTTCTCCCCGAGCTGAGTTACGCACCAAACATCGTCATGAAGGTTCTGGTGCACGCCCTCTGAAGAAACAGAAGAAAGCTGTTTCTAAACCGCGCGTTCATCTTCCTGCTGTAGAAGAGACATCCGGTCGTAGTGTTTCTTCTGATGAACAAGGTAGCGATTTGTTTTTATAGCTTTTACACTTTTTTGATGTTCAAACTTATTTCATGTTCAACTTCTGCAGGGAGTCGAGAGGAAGGAGAATTGCCAGCTGATGCTGCTTCTCCCGGAGGTATGGAAATTGAGGAAACAAGCTTCGTCCAACAAATGCATGATGCTCTGAAGGAAGGATCGGCTGATGTTCCACCCACTCCTGACGTTGATCCATCAGCTGCGGACACAGGTACTGATCTTTCTCCTCTCGGAAGAGAAATCCGAGAAATGAATGAGTCGGACCGTGTGCCTCCTCTAATGACCTGTGCGCTTTCTCTCCTTTTAGTCAAATTAAAAGAAGCAGGTACCAGTAGTGGAGCTCTCGAATCAGCCCCGACCAACGAAGGTAAAATTAATTGTCTTTTTGAGCAAATTCGTCTAAATTTATGTGTCATTTACGACTCAACACATTTTGTAGATGTCACAATGCACGAATCTGTTGGAGGAGAGACCACGCATACAACAGAGGTCGAGGAATTCAATGAACATCACCTCGATTTCAATCTCTCTGAAGGCGACCATGAGTATATCTCCGACTTATTATCGGGGAAAACTCCTGGTGCAGCCACGGAATCCAGTGTTGGAGTCGGTTCAACAGAAGCAGGTCCTTCTGAAAGTAAGACCTTTATTCTGTAAACTCCATATATGCATACATATATATTTTAACTTGATTAACCATATAAGTATTTGAATTATAGGACCAGTTACTGGAACTGATACTACTATCATCACCGAAACATCTGAACAACCGGAGGGTAGTGAACTCGTGCCATGGGCAGGAACTGAGGTTGATTTGCAATCATCAGTTCTTGAACCTCAACCTTCTACTCCTATGGACCCCATGATGATAGAAGTCACTGTCACTCCCCAGATTAGTCCAGTTGCAACAAAAGCGAGACCAACTGAAGAAGTTGGTACATCGGCCGATGTTGTGACTAGAATTGGTGAGTTTCATTTATCGTTTGTTTCAAGCTCGGATTATCATTATGCTCATTGTAATCCTCCTGTTTGTAGAATCTCCTCTTAAAGAGTCTCTTAGTTTGGACCCGCCGTCCTCTGAGACTTTAGTTGAAAAAGTCCCTGATGTAGCGGGTGCATCAACAGCTACCATTCCTGAACCAATCTTGACTGTTCAGGAATCCAGATTATCATCCTTGAGCGAACCAAGTCATGCTGAAGGTTCTTCCGTCGAATTTGGTATGCTTTAGTTTGTTGTCTTGTATGCATATATATATACTGTACTGACTTATTTGACTTTCTCGCAGTTCCTTCATCATTATCAACTCAAATCCAAGCGTTATTGGTTGATGACGATCCGGACAAGTCTGTTATCTGCTCTAATCTCCAAGGCTTCATCTCCTTTTTGAACTCTATGGTCGATCGCATTCTCTTCAAAAGATCGTATTTTGAGAATTATAAAAAATCTTTTGAGCGTTTTATATCAGGGTTCAGAGAGGAAGGGTATAACGACTTAGCCGATTCAGTCACCGCTTATTTGGTTGATTTGAGGCAACATATTGAACTTCTGCAAACTCTTCGCACCAAAGGCGTACCTTTTTACATCGCTTCTCATATGGAATCCAGGCTGCAAGCGTGGCGTGATTCTCAAGAATCTGCCAACTCCGAACTCCAACAGTTAAGAGCCCACAGTCATCAGCTTAGGGTGAATATTGGCAAAAGGACACAAGCCAAGGTCAACCTACGCCGAGATATAAAATCGAGTCGAGCGGAAATAGCTCGCTTAGAGGAGGAACTTGCAATGGCCAAGGATGCTCTTGATGTCTTGGAGTCTGAGTTGACGCAGGAAATTCATGTTGAGGAAGACCTGTTACAGCAACTGAACTTTCAAGATAAAATAATTGCTGAAAAGGAACAAGAGGTCGCCGCGCTTCAAAGTGTTGATGAAGAAGCTTTCAAAATTAAATTGACGGCTGAGCTTGAACAGACTTATGCGTTAGAGCTGTCAAAACTTGAAAATCAAATTAGTCAATATAAACTCTTGTAATCGGAGAACATTATATTTTTGTTTGTAGCTTTGTTTGAAAATTCTTGGTCAATATAGTGAACCTTTTTGCTCATTATATTGAATCTTTTTGCTCATTGAGGTTTTTTATTATGATTACTCATTCTTATTTAGAATAAATAACCATAATACTTATAGGATTTTTGGCAAATCCTCAGCCATCAACGGATTTGATATACCTTTACCGATTACCGTTTGAATCGGGCTAGTATGTGAATTATCTAAGTCCGTTTCACATATAACGTTGCGCTAAAAGAATTAAACTCTTTTAGACTTTGAACTACACTGTTGAATATGTAGGCTACATGTGTTAGATGTAGGCTTATCTCTAATAAGGGATAGAGATAACATCCCCCATGTGTGAACAACATGGATTTCAAAGTGTGAATAGGTTGCATTTCCTATATAGGACAACGAACCCAAAATCGGAGAGAAAAAGAATTGTATATTCCATTTCTCAATCTCTTGTTTGTTGGTAGAGATAAACCCATACTCGGAGAGGAAGAATTTTATATTCTATCTCCTGGTCTCTTGTTTGTTGGTAGAGATGAACCCAGAATCGGAGAGGAAGAATTTTATATTCTATCTCCTGGTCTCTTGTTTGTTGGTAGAGATAAACCCAGAATCGGAGAGGGAGAATTTTATATTCTATCTCCTGATGAAAAGGAAACTCACAGTGGAATCTCCACTTAGAGAAAATAGGTTGGTTTGAATAACCCTAACTGTCATAAGGTTTGATTACTCAATTCAAAAGTAAACCTTTCGTTCGCAAAAATGAATCGAAAGGAGATTTTGGTTGTGGTCCTAACTGTAGTAAGGTTTGACCAAGTGGGAATTTTGAGACGATCCTAACTGTAGGAAGGTTTGATCGCTCAATTTGTGGACCTCTCGTTCATGGAACGAATCGAGAGGGGATTTTGGCTTTGGTCCTAACTGTTTAAAGGTTTGACCAAGTGAGGAATAGGAGTAGGGTGCAAATAACAATGAGTTTGTTGATTTGCACAAACTACTCGGTGGGAAATTTTGATTTCAAACATAAGAATTTGACACGAAATAATCTGTCGACTGATACATACTGATGATCGTTGATCAATCCGACCGATGGGGGTTTCATAGCGTGAGATTACAAATCATCAAATCTCATCTTCCATGATTATATTACAAGGTTTTGCTGAGGAAAGATTAACTATCATTAAATCTCATCTCAACAAAAGTTGTAAAAGAACAGTGAATTATTCAAATGACCAGCTTCTCATTTAAAATAGTGAACTGATCTCGGGTTATCCTGAAATATCCTATATAGGATTCTCTAGGAACTTCCCGCTTTACACAGGTTATCCTGAATATATTACGGATAATATTTTTTCAGGAACTTCCCATTTATTGGCATCATCAATTTGTTGCCATCTTGGGTAACCAGGCGATATGCACCGTTCGAATAGACTGTTTCTATTACAAACGGTCCTTCCCATTTAGGTTCAAATTTGCCTTTCTTCTTAGAAGTGAGAATCATAGGTCTTCGAACGGCGAGAACTAGATCTCCTTCTTTAAAGCTTCGTCGTCGGACCTTTTTATCGAAAGCCCGAGAAATTCTAGCTTGATAAAACTCGATCTGTTGTTGAGCTTCCAAGCGTTTCTCATCCAACATCTCTAACTCCTCGAGACGTTTCTGATGACGTTCTTCCGTCGTCATTCCCGTTACGAGAGCGATACGGAGAGAAGGTATCTGCACTTCCAATGGAAGAACGGCTTCATACCCATACGTTAAAGCATACGGGGTGGCTCCGGTAGGCGTGCGGACGGTCGTACGATAAGCCCAGAGAGCGAATCTGCACTTCCAATGGAAGAACGGCTTCACACCCATACGTTAAAGCATACGGGGTGGCTCCGGTAGGCGTGCGGACGGTCGTACGATAAGCCCAGAGAGCTTCGCCGAGTTTGTCATCCCAATCTCGCTTATTGGTTTTCACCAATTTTGCCAGGATTTTGATGATAGTCTTGTTAAAAGCTTCGGCCAATCCGTTAGCTGTAGGATTATAAGCAGTCGACGAAACGTCTTTAATCCCGAATTTACCGCAGAACTTGATGAATGCGTTGCTCACGAACTGAGGACCGTTGTCGTGCACTATTCGCCTTGGCACACCGTACCGATATATGATATGGTGTTTGATAAATTTGATGACATTGGTCGTCTTTACTTCTCTAAGTGGAACTGCTTCTGCCCATTTCGAGAAATAATCGGTGATTGCCAGAATGAAACGGTCCCCTTTAACCGAAGGTGGAAAAATAGGACCTACTATATCCATTCCCCAAGTTTCAAACGGCCACGATGTCGCCGAAGGATGCAGATATTCAGGGGGTATGTGCATATAATTTGCATGCAATTGACACACTACACATTGTCCACGATGTTGCCGAAGGATGCAGATATTCAGGGGGTATGTGCATATAATTTGCATGCAATTGACACACTACACATTGTCGTGCGTAATCGACTGCGTCTTTCACCATAGTCGGCCAATAATATCCGATTCTCCTAAGTCGGTCGCAGAGTTTAGGACCGGGCTGATGTGCACCGCATATCCCATTATGTGCCTCTTTGAGTGCTTGTTCCGCTTCTTTACTGGATAGACAACGAAGTAAAAGACCATCATAAGCTCGTCGATACAACGTTTGCGATGTGGCATTGTAATAAAATCTCGGCGCTCTTCGCCGAATCGATTCCCTTTCTCTTACATCTTCAGGTAATATACCATGTAAGACGTAGTCAATAATAGGAAAACGCCAATCTCGAACTTCGGGTTCAACTCCAGTTGAGTATACCTCTTTAGCATTCGAATCGTAGATTGGAACAATAAGCTGATGAGTCCTCACTGTAATTAATTGCTCTGTTTCGGGAGGTTGAGCCAAGGATACTGACAATGCTGCCAATGCATCCGCGTATGTATTTTGGAGACGCGGAACGTACTCGATGAAAAATTCTTCAAACGAGCTTGCTATTTCGATGGCCACCTGGTGGTATGGAATCAGGTCTCGATTTCTGACTTCATACTCTCCTCGTATTTGATTAACCACCAGTTGAGAATCTCCAAAAGCTTCAAGGTATTCGACCCCCAGCTCTTTGGCGAAATTAAGTCCGATTATTAATGCATTGTATTCAGCTACGTTATTAGAGCATGGTTCAGTCAGTGAATATGCTCTAGGCAAGACGTGCTTTTCCGGGGAAACTAAAACGACCCCCACTCCTGAGGAGATTTTAGAACATCCGGGTACACTTGCCACGTTGGTTGATCGGGAAGCCCCATCGAAGTACAATTGCCACACTTGTTGATGTGAGGTGGTATTAACTTCGTGAGTTTCATCTGGCAGGTCGTCGTACAATTCGACTACATCCTTCGTAGGGTTTTCTGCCAGAAGGTCGCAAATAGCTCGTCCTTTAACAGATTTCTGCTGTTTGAAGTACAAGTCATATTGCGATAAGAGTAAAGCCCATCTGGCCAAACGCCAATTCATGGAAGCCGGTTGGGTCATGAACACTCGGACGGGATTTATGTTGGAAATGACATAAATCGTCTGTCCGACTAAATAATGTCGCATTTTCTGAATCGCGAATACCAAAGCGAGGCATTCCTTCTCAATCATCGGATAACGAGACTCAGCTCCTACCAATGTACGACTCAGATAATACACAGCTTGCTCGTGACCGTTATCGTCGTCTTGTGCAAGTAAGGCACTTAACGAATGGCTCGTCGCTTTGACATAAATCAAAAACGGCTTGCCCGATTTCGGTGCAACGAGAATAGGTGGATTCGCTAGATATTTCTTGATATCTTCGAATGCCTTCTGACATGCTTCATCCCAAATGAACGACACGCCTTTCTTTGCGAGTTTGGAAAACGGTTGACATTTTCCGGACAAGTTCGATATAAACCGACGGATATATGCTAATCGACCTTGCAATCCTCTGAGTTCTTTAAGATTTCTTGGAGGCTGCAGTTCGTTTATCGCCTTCACCTTATCAGGATCAATATGAATACCTTTTGTGGTGACGACGAACCCAAGAAATTTACCGCTCGACATTCCAAGGAAGGATTTAGTCGGGTTCATCTTTAACTGATGAGTTCTCATAAGTTCGAACATTGTCTTCAGATCGTTAATGTGGTCGTTTTTATCACGACTCTTAAC